GCATTAAATCTTAGGTTTCCCCTTAGGCTCCTTATTATCTTACTTATGATGTTAATCGTAAAAAGTAATCAAGCGTCATCATTATTGGAAGTGTGCACTGTGGAAATTATAAATGACATTCACATTTAAAGATGAAATAATCTTCAATTGAACAAAAAAGTTGAAAATGAAGCTTTTTGTTCCTCAGCATGCCTTACAAAATTACAAAAAAAAAATCAAGATTTTGTTACGAATATCAAAATTTTTATATTTGTCCAGATGAGGGTCTTTGGAAAAATTATAACTTAATGAGTATCAATTTTAGGAAATAACTGCAAAATAAGTTTTTTGTTCAAAAGTGATGGAAGTTTACAGGAGAAGAAAATGGGATTAAAAAAGTTGATTAAATTAATTAATTGAATTAATTTTTACAGTGATGAATGACGGATGGGATGACGCACTAGTCGAAGCTTTGGATCACTATGAAAGAACGAGGAAAATGACAGATGAGAAAAATGAACCGAAAAACCTTGGAAGGTATTCATATCGAAAAATTATGATGAATATTTGAAATTAAATGATCGACTTTGAATTATTCTAGGGAACGTGGAAGTATGAATAATCGCAGTGGAAGGAAAAGAAATTGAATACAAACCAAACTGAAATGGAGTAGATCCTGCTGATGAACAATTGAAGATTTAATATTTTGAGGCAATTAAGAAGGTTTTCCGCGAAGACTGATTCATTTTTCAAAAAAAGAATGGTATTCCAATGAAGAAGTACATGATAGAGTACTGAACATAATTTTGGACTGGAGACAATAAATTGACTTTTAAATTGAATATTTACAGAAATACTGCGTTAATTTTCATAAATATTGTAGGTAGAACATCAAACTCTGGATGAAGGCAACAAAATTCTCTTTCATATTTTTTTTTGTATACAATATTTATATACCTTATATGATATTTATATAATATTGCATTTTGAATGCAATATGGAATATTGACCTAACATGGTCTCATGGATTCAACATGGAATATTGACCTATACAAAAAAAAAGAAAAGACGAGATAGTTGAATTTTGAAAGTTCAATTGAGATTCATTTAATTCTGGCATGGAAATTTCAAATTCGGAATTTTCAATTAATTGACAGAAATTACCTTTTAAATTATTTGTATATTCTTATTGAATCACGAATGATCAATAATGAGTAATCTATTGTAGGAGTCATTGATAATGTTTTTTTTTCCATGTACAAAAGAGAATGTATTTGTTCTCTTTGAATAATTTGAGGTGATGAAACTCGAAAAATTGGCGAGAAAATATTATACAGTAGGAAATATTTTACAGTATTATAAAGTAGCCATGAAAATTATGGGAGAAAATTGGTGACTCATGAATCGGTGTTCTGAATGGTTATTCACGAATTGAATGAAAGTGGAAATTTCATCAATTGATCTAGATTATTTATTGGATACAAATGATTGATAAAAAAATTTAGTAGAACTGGTGAAGTAACGTGCTCTTTGGGATGTTCTGGTATTTGGTCATTCAGGACGATATTTCAATAATTCAGCACGATCAAAATTTGGCGATGCTTCATCGCTTCGTTGACTACAGTGTGAGAATAGAACAAACTGAAGTTACATAGCCGGAATTGGGTGAAAGACTGAAGTTGTCAACAAGTTTTTAAAACTACAAAAGACAATAGATATCGAAGCATAATAAAATTTGATGAGAGACAGAGATTGACAACTAAAAATTGAAGACCTGAGTGAGAGAAGAAAGAGACAAGTGCAAAAAAGAATTACTGTGAAGAATTTATAACAGATTAAGCCTAAGGGGAATCTACTGTTTTGATTGGAGAAAAAAATACCGAGGAGGTAAATTTTTGATATCTATAGCATCAAGTTCGGGAATTTATTTCATCCTTATGTAAAAAAGACAAAATATAAATTGAATCGATATCATCATGCATCGATAGTTCGAACATGGTGGAAATTTAAGAATTCCAAAATTCTGAAAAGCTGGACATTAAAATTAGAAATTTCTATTTGAGAGAACAAAAAATGGTAGATTTAAAAATTAAAAGATTTTTTAATTGAGAAATCGGAAAATTGGAAGAAATAGAAAAAGGAAGAGAAGAGCATCAACGCGGCGGTCCTAGTAAGTAGTAAACGTAAATATATATGAATTATTCAACGTAGGAAGGAGGCGAGGAATAAAATGGCATTCAATTACACGGATATACATGCTAGCCTCATCTACACAGCAGACGAAGCTTTTAAAAAAATAGGATGGTCACACAATTTAATTGAACAAAAAACTGGTAATTTGAATCAATTAATCAATGGAGAGATGAAATAAGAAACTGCGAGTTTTGTTTACTTACCTATTTCGTTTAATTATGCTTTTAATTATAATGTGTAGATTTCGAGGAGATGAGGGGTGATAAATTCTACGTGGGATGCACAACGATAATAAAAATTAGGTTAAAAGATGGGCGGCAACAATTCTGATTTCGGTTATTATGAAAGCAACGAAAATACGAAAGGTGAAGCTATCTTCCGAGCGAGAATGGTAAGATCACCTAATGATTGAAAGAGAAGTAAAGAAAATTGAAAATTATAATTCTTGCAGATATCAACGATTAATGCATTGCGAAAAACATTATGGTACTTCGAAGAGAGCAGAAATATTCTCAAAGAACGATATTCTAGAAAATATATTTTTGAAACGAACTGCACTGAGGAACAACGACAAAGAAAAGAAGATGCTCTTAAAAAGGATGACGATTTGGTACAAAAAAGTCAAGGAATAACGGTCGGAAAGAGAGAGAATGAAGAAGACAGAAGAAATAAAGCGAAAAAAAAAGATTGATTGCAGCAGAAAAGACGAAGAAATTTCGAATGGAAGATGCAGCGAGAATGAAGGAGGAAAATGATAGAAAAAAAGCCGAAAATGGAAAATGAATGAGATATTACAACAAATAAAACAAGCTGTCGATGTATTGATGACTTGTTATTTATTTATTGTTTTTTAATTTTAATTTCCATTGAACTATTGGACTATTTGGTTATTCAATACAAGCTGCCCTTTCTTTGAACAGAAAAAAAATCTGAGAACAGTTTCGCGGATATTATTCAACAGAATCGGATAATTAACATAAAATCAAATAAAATTTCGTAATCGAGTCTAAACTTCGTGGAGAATCGACAATTTATTCTTGAATTTGAGATAAAAAACAAGAGATGGAAAAAAAAGAGAAAGAAGTTAACTTCATGCCCGTCTGTATCTGTGAGTAAATAAATATAATTTACAAGCACAAAAATGGATAAGAGAGTAGAATATCCTCATCTAATAACAAATATCACAGAGGGAGTACCACGAACGTAAGCAATAAATTAGAGAATGGCTATTATAGCATATTATGTTACTATCATGGAGAAATTTCAACAGATTGACAGGCACGGTTTTTGCCGAGATTGGACCACAGAGTATCAATGGAACGAGATTTTACGCTTTCGTGCTTTTTAACGGATATTTTGGGACGAGATCGAGATTATCAAAAATCCTCATTTACGATGAAAATTTAATTAATCATTTCACCAATGACTTTCCGGTATTTGAAGTGAGTGAGTTTATTTGGGACGGATTGAATGGAAAAAAAAGTATTTTATCGGATTATAATTTGATTTAATAGTTGATCCAAATTCGAAATGCTATTCCCTATAAAAGAAGAAATGTGTCACTACTGGGTACGATCTGGAATGGAGATGATTTCTGTGAATTCGAGTGGGATGTGACTTCATCAGGACAAATTAATCGGTTTTGGACAATAAACATGAAATCGAAAGAGATAGTTGAATTGGAGTAAAAAATTTTGTTCATGGCAGTTGGAAATACAAAAAAATTGAGAATGCACTGGGGAATTTGATTGGTAAATATTAGTCATCTTCTACGTCCGGGTGAGTTTCCCTTCGGAAGCTCATTACCAATGTAATTGGTAACAAAAAAAAAGAAAAAAAAAGGAAAAAAAAAGAAGACAAATAACATGTAAAGTAATGGTCACATGTCTTCTGTCAAATAGGGTCGGTCGCCTGCTTGTTTTTATGTCTCCGAAATAACGTATCCCTCAGTTCCCCACTTTGTATAATAGCACATTACTATTATACAGGATTGCTCTTCTCGCCAAATGCAAAGTCTTATCAATGTTCGAATATTTTCGCTCGTTTAATGAACTAGTGATGGCGATGCTTCTCAGCGATGGAGAGTTATACCTGATTTGGAAACTCTCTTCTATTTCGTCGTTGGATTCGGCCGGTTCTTTGTTGTAACATACTTAGAAAATGGTATACATACCCATTCTATTCTCGTCTTGACCGCATAATCCATCTCTTCGATACTTGATATGTATTTTATTCCCTTTTTCTCTTTTACTTTTGTCTTTGCTGCACATTCATCACCTGATTGGAAATCATCTACTTGACATTCCAGTTCATTTTTCGTCACGATCTTTGGTTTTTTCGGCGGTATGTACTTTTCATCCTCCATGTATATATCAACATACATATGTAAGCGTTTCTGATGGAATCTAGGCTTTCATTTTTCCCTGTAATTCTCACTTGGTCACCGATCTGCGAGATATTTATAGAACAGTTCGACGACTTGATCTCTCCAAATTTTATCCATTTTTAAAGTTAAAAATATTTTTCACGAATGATCCAGAACAAATCGATGTTACGCGTACTAGAAAAACATTCACAGGAGTGAGAATAGTATGATAGAAGGGAGGGAGTAATATATATCATATCAAATCCACGCTATTGGGGGCTATTTGTGACGCCGATGCCGCAGCACTCCGAACGGTGGGGCTAATGTGTAGTGAGCAGAGGAGGGTTATGTGAATGGTGGGGGATTTGCGCGTGCCCCACTCTCATGCCCGACGCTATGAAGCGCGGCTGCTCGCACTGAATTTCATTCAGTTGTTTCGATATCGTTCATCTATTTTTTTACCATGGAGAATATCAAGCAAAAAGAGTGCAGTGGTGTTAAACAGCAGGTGGTGCTGCTTTACAAGTTATACCTCCCAATAAGTCAGAAATGGAGCAAATTTGTGTCGGTCTACAAGTTACCTGTATCAGTCAATTTGTTCCTGTGGTGCAGTTTATGGCCGTACACCCCAACCGCGTCGTGCTGTCAATGTCATGGGAGGAATGGAGCCCTTTGTACAAAGATCTGGATACTATTATGGACTAGGAGGTAAACAATACGCGTTCTGAAGCATTGATTCAAAGACGCGCTGGGAGAGGGTGCTGCCAAGGGTGGTGGGACGGAGAAATGGTGGGATCACGGTTTTACATACAGGTCTGGAAACTCCTCCCCAATTTTCGGTGGTGGGGATGGCTCCCTTAACTGCGACAGGTTTCGTAGTACCAACAGTTGCCGCTCGAGGCGCAACGTGACTAACGGACACATTCGCAGTTGCGCCTTCGCAGTTTCGGAACCACGCTTGCGCATGTCTCCAAGACTCAATATATGTCAATTTTTTTAGATTAAGAACAACGGAGACTGAAAACAATTGAACATCTAAAAACTAAGAATGATATTGAATAGAAAGCACATATTATAATATGAACTGTCTTTTGAATATGGGACATTCCATGTCAATTCAGCCGCCTTGAATTTTTTTGTTTCTCAGAATCCTGAATTGACATGCTCACTGTCAGGTACTATGTAAGTACATGCTTTCCGTAAATTTTTGTTCCTTCAACATCAATTGCTTGTCTACAATATGTGTCGCAAGTTCAAATGTTTGAAAAATCATATCTCGCGAACTAATTGACGGATTTCAATGAATTAGAACGATTTTCATCGCTTTTTCATGTACTATTCGAAAAAAATACGCTAGTACTGTAAGGACGAGTAATGACCCTTTTCATAGGTTTTAATTTTTCAAATTCCACTGTTACACGGCGGCCAGTCGAAAATCAATTAATTCTCTTTTTTCATGATGAATAATAATAATAATCCCGAATTTTTTCGGGACATTTTGAAATGTTATATCGATATAGAGATGAGAAAAAAAAAATTTTGCATAAAATTTTTTTTTTCGACATTAACGGCTATAATTAGTACAATCACATTGTTCATTCATCACTTATACTCGTATGGTGAATCATCAACACAACCAATGATATAACTACGTTGCAGGCCTAAAAATAGGAGGTGCATAATTGTTTTAACATTATTTTCAATAATGAAATTTAAGTTTGGGGAAGAATGCTATCCAAAACCCATAAATTTTCTCATCAGATCCCTACTCTGTTATGGAAAAAAATGAAACTTCAGGTTTCACTGAAAACTCAGTAAAATTCCAGAATTTTAACTACCACAAAGACGAAAATCCCTGAATTGATTTGAAATTCCAATGAATTTTTTCTGAAATCTAAAATTTCATGATTTTTTCCCTCTAAATCGCATTCAGTGTTGATATCCTGAAAATTCATGTATATATTTACCGGAATTTCCTGATTTGTCACTCATTTTCAATGGAAAATGAAATTGAAATTCATAGTTTAGAGAAATTCCTTGAAATTTCAGTAGAAATTAAATTTTTTTTCAATTTTTAGGAAAGTACACCCGAAATTTTAGATAAAAATTTGTAATAGTTATGTTAGCGATGTTAATAATTAAATACCGATGTTGATAAATTCTTAAGTCGTCATGAAGATGTCATAGAAATCGAAAGCCTGCAATAGCTCAGTCAATAGGGCGAAGAACTCGCAATTCGTTAAGTCGGGTTCGAATCCCACCTGTGTCTAATTTTTCCACTGTATCATTGACTCAGCCAGCGTCAACTCTCCCCCTTGATGAGCGTAAAGAAATGAAAAATAATACGACATGCAGCCAGGACAATTAAACGTTGACTGATTGTTCTTGGAAGAAGACTTTGTATTTGTCGTACATTTTCAATCGGATTGCGATGTTTCACAAATTATTAACACAATATAATTCGCTGTCATGGGGGATGAAAAGAGGAGGTAAGCGGTCTGAAAAACTACGGATTTCGTCGAATCGTGTTTCCATACAACCTCCAAGGGTTACAATGAATACGAATCTAATTAGTTGTCCTGAGACTCTTACTCCTGCAACATCATCCCTCATTCTCCATTCAGTGTGTTAAATTTCCTCTAGAAATTGACTAAATCATTATTCTCCTTCAGTTCGAAAAATTGAGGGTGGCTGAGTTGACATGGAATGTCCCATATGTTGAATGAGTTATCATTCGCACCGTCTCTGAGAGATGGCACTGTTTTGGACCTCAGATCATTTTAACCCCACCATCGAATCATTGGCCAATCGGAATGTTTCTTCCCACCATTGACTCATCGGCCAATCAAATTTCTGTCTCCCCACCATTGACTCCTCAGCCAATGGTGAGTCTTTGCGCAGCAACTCTCTATAAATACATCGGGCCCAGTTCGCCTGCGTCACTTCGCCTCGAGCAGCAGAGGAGAAAACAGCAGAGAAGCAGAGAAGCAGAGAAGTGGAAAAGGAGAAAAGGAGAACAATATTGGAGTGGAAAATCACCAGAGAATCAATCAACCGCAGGGGTACTCTCGACTACAGGAGCGATTTCCGAGGTAATTCTCTCAGACTAGACCCACAAGAACATCATCGGGAGGTGTGAGATACTTGAGTCACCGCATAGTTCAAAAGAACTCTCTCACACCTCTCCGTGTTCTAGCTGAGTGTCACGCTATCGGGGTAAGTCTGATTATTTGAAAATCATCGTCTCAAGGTTACTTGAGAAATTTAACTTCAAACCTTCGATAATCGCTCACTGGAAAACTTGATTCTCGCCCATTAGAAAACTCAATTCTCGCATTAGAGATTTGATTCTCCCTGTAAACGAACACTCAAATTTTACTAATTAAAAGGCGAACTCAAATTACGCCTTCGGGTCTCATTTTATTTCATTCCGGCGACCTTGATACTTAACAGAAAATGTCTCTCTTCTTTGATGCCTCATTCCAACAGCGGTAATTAATAAATGCTCAAATTATGTATGAAAAGAGCAGAAATGTGGTGACTTGAAATGATAACTCATTAGACAACCATTAATTTTTTTATTGGACAGAAATATCTCACAAATTATATGGAAAATCCTTAAATTGGTTGTTCTTTTCAATTTCCGGATGGAATTTGCCCATTCTCTCCTCCTCTCAATATTGTGTGTTGCTTTGACACAATCTCTCTTCACAGACCCATCCACGGAAAAAAAATCGAATTGAATTGTGTATGAAATATACTTGACTGAAGTATATTTTATACTCAATTCAAGTATTTTTTTTCTTGTGTCAGTTTCATCTGTTTTGCACTCCACGACTGAACATTTCACTCTTTTTTTGGCATTGTTTTCACACAATATTTAACGAGTATTTAATTGATGAGGAACGTATAGGCAAACTGCCGAGTCCATTCCCTTCGTAGCTACCTCCACTTTGGCTAGTCCCCACGCTCATCTATAATCCCCACCTCTGAACACGAAGGGAACGGAATTGTCAGTCCGGGAGTATATCTTCGATTGACTGAGAAGTTGAAACCCCGACCGCGCTTTTTTAACGAAAATCCGCCTGTCACGTTGCGCCCCTAGCGACCATCAGGTGAAATACAAAATCTGTCGCCGTCAAGGGAGCCTTCCCCCCAACATAGAAGTTTCCAGACCTGTTTGTAAGACCGTGGGTGGGATATAAACTTGAAAACTCGCTGGGCGATGGCACTATCGGGGGGGGGAGGGTGCTGGGAGTAGGATGCGGATATCGGATGGTTACGTCTTACGTTCTAGAGGGGGGGGGGCATACAGCCACAATATGAATAATCTCTGATGAGTTGGAGTGCGTTGCACGCCTGTAATTATCAGCGGACACGTACGTCTTCTATGAACAATCACGATGGAAAGAAAGACCTTCATAGTGTTTGGCGGCGAGCCGCTGGAGAGTCAGACTGAATCCCACTGAATGTCTACATTTATCGTGCGGATGAGAATTTTTTTCAGACAATTCTTCAAGACTCCCGAGAAAAATAATTTTAAGAAAAGTATCCGATGGATTATGATCAAAATTGAAATTTCATCTCAAAGAGTTAACTGTGACCTAGCGGGTATACAAGGTGTTTCCGACTTAATAATAAACCTCTCGTCCAGTGATAAATTGCGGTCTCCTGAATACGGGAAAAATGTAAAAAAAATTAGTATTTTAATAGTTTTTAACTATTGATATTTGCTATCGAGGGCGAGTTTTTATGTGATTAAGCGATGAGATTTTTTGAATCCTAGAAAATGCAAACTAGATTCAATCTTCCGCGGCTCTGTGCAGAATGAATCCAATGGATTACATAAATTGAAATTTGAGTTACTACTTATTTAAATACTCAAATCGAATCGACGGTAGTGGCCATGCGGTTAGAGTGCTAGACTCGTAGCCAATGATCCGGGTTCGCTTCCCGGCACTGGCGGTCAAAATTTATAGCGCTCTAATCTCACAGTTTCACTGCCGAGCGGTAGTCCCGTCAAAAAGGACGACTGTACCAGGGCAGGTTTTTCCCTCGAATGAGGTTTTCCTTCCCTTCGGCAAATGCGGTACAGGGGGTTGAGGGGGGTGGGAAAGGAACAAATCGTAAAGACCCGAAAGGGTATACGAGAAGAAAAAAAAAATTTTTTTTTTACTCAAATCGATACGCACAATCACCTAAAATCTGATACCTATGATATTTTAGTTCTTATCAAACGGAATATTTCTCAATATTAATCCAGGTTTCGATTTCGAGGAGATTTACCTTCTGGCCAGAGATGACATACCTCGTACAATACCTCAGGAGAATCTGCGATATTTGAATCAATTATTTGGTGAAATGTTCCACTTGTGCTAGGATGAGTTGAATGGTTTGCCGGAGGGGCTTACCGAATGCCCTCATACTAAAGATAATATAATAATCTTTTGTGTTTGTAAATAATTCAAAAGGGCAGAGAAAAAACATTATTTGTAAACCTAAAAATGTATCATACCATTTTCTGCGACTTATCGAAAAAGTTATTGATAAATTTGTGGTATTAATTTACGACAACCCTTGACATTTTTGTGTGTATATGTGTGAGAGAGAGAGAGACGTGTGATTAAAAATTTTTCCTGCCGTTTTTTCGGAGCGAAAAATTTTCAGCGCCCTCGGAATAACTGAGAAAACTTATTGTCCATCCTTTGCCTCATCCAACGTTACAATCCTTTGTTATCCTTTTACAAAAACAATTTAATAATCGCAATGTTTTTTCCGACGCCTCGAGGACGGTGCCTCCAACGTTCTGGAAAACGACATTCGGACCCTCTTTCACATTGCAACTCATTTTCAACCCAACATCCATTTCCCGCCTGAGACCCATTTTTCCACCCGCCACCCATTTCTCTTCCACCACTCACTTTCCATCCACCATCCACTTTCCACTTACCGGACATTTTCTACCCACCAGCCACTTCCTGCGATCCTTGGGCACTCTCATTGACACCCTGCACCCCAGGGGGCCCCAGCTCACCGACGCCCCCTCCTTCGTCGTCCTTCATTGTGAAGTGCAATTTATAAGCCGGGATAATGTTACTGATGTTTGGTTCCTATCCAACTAATTTCCTATGACGTCAAAAAGATGTGGAACGCTATAAAAATTCCCTTCTTTAATGAAAAATCAATGCCTAAGAAGGACGGCGGAGCTCAATATGTACAAGAAATTTGAAATGAAGAAATTGCTAGGAGCCGGATATCTCAGTTGGGAGAGCACCCTATGCATAATCGGAACGTCCCGGGTTCACATTCCGGTCTGGACTATCCATTTTTTTCAGTAAATATTTCTTATTAGCTCATATTGAGAATAATCCCGGATCCCCTCCTACCTCATCCAAATCCTATCCAACTTATTTCCTATGACGTCACAAACATGTGGAACGCTATATAAATTCCCTTCTTTAATGAAAAGAAGTCACTTTTCAAAAGCCATGCCACCGAGGGAAGAAAGGAGGACGTGCACGTCCACTTCCTGGAAAAAGGGGGCGGAGTATGGGAAATTCTCCAATCTCTGGCATCTAGTACGAATTTTCATTCTCTTAGAATTATTTCATGCCTAAAGGATGTTAGGCGGTTTGTGAGGTGAATTCAGAGAGAGAATTCTCATAGTTCACGGTACCTTAGTTGGGAGAGTGCTCGGCGTGTAACTCGGAGTCCCGGGTTCGAATCCCAGCTGGGCGGTGCGGGATTTTCTTCTTTCTAAATTTTTATTCTCTTAGATTTTTTTTGCCTTTTCCATCAGTGAACTCGACAGCTACCACAAAAAATAGTATGTGTTAGGCAAGCGGAAAACTGCAACATACGCTTATAATACAATATGCTATTCTCTGTGTAAAGGAATCAATTTATACTACTTCTACTTATTATGAGTTGAATAATTAGTATTAACTATTTAATTAATGTACCTTGGCAACTTGTCTACATTCTTGGAGATCAATGCATTAATATCGATTTCAATTAATTCCAGAGCCAGCACGTTTCGAGTCTCCAAGCAAGAACGTAACGATAAGACGTGGGGATTCAGTGACCCTCGACTGCACTGTAATTGGTGATAATCCAATTGAAGTGAAGTGGATGCACAACAATGACTATTTGGACACAAATAGCCATCGTCTGAGTATAGCACAAGTGAAGGCTGAAACGGGATTAAAATCTCAGTTATCTATTGGCAGCAGTGATAGACAAGACTCGGGGACTTATAGATGTACTGCTGATAATGCTTATGGACGCAGCGAACATTTGATGTATCTTGCAGTGCAAGGTAAATCGGTAAACTTTGAAAAACAATTATGTTCATACAGATACAGTTAGCAATAACATGAAACTCTTGAATATTTTAGACCCCTGTATTCCTTCTATGCCTAACGTGGAACTTTCCCTATAGTATCATTTCTCCATATCCCCCCTCCCCTTCAATTCATGTGAAGAATAAAATTTGTGAAATTATGACAATAACTGAAAATAGTTTCATCGAGAATTTTCTTTATTCAACATGACATCCTTCATACAATCAATAGTATTCCAATTGAAGACAGGCAAGGAGAGAATGAGATTGGCAGATTATATTTTTATTTTTTTTTAGAATAAAGGGTTTAAAACAAAAAGTCCAAATTAGTCTCTTTTATAGAAAATTCAATTTTCAGTAATTAATATCATCTAGCATTTATCTCCGAACGGTCCAATTTGGAGGATATCTTTCAAATGGAGGGAGAGTAGAGCAAAGCTTTTGATCCACTTCAATTTCTGATAGTTTTGTTCATAAATAACAACACGAAGATTTTGAGACGATGACCAGATGAACACTGGGTCATCTCCCTCCCTCATTTTCCGATTTTTATACAATTATTTGAAAGTAGCTTGATCATGCTATGATTTTGGAAGATTAAAATCCAAAAAAAAATTAGCAATAATTGGCAAATATAAATGAACATTTGATGTCGAATATGATTACTTACAGTCTCAATGAACATGAGTCACAGTCTTATGAACATTACTCACAGTCTCCATATTTTATCATAAATATTTGATGTTTCGCGATGCTCCAAAAAGTGTCATCTAAATTGAAAACGTTGCATGTCATCACGTATGAGAAAATTCTATGGGAAATTCTATAGGGAATCCTATGGAGAATTCGAACATTTCCCATACGATTTCTCAGATAGGTTTTTCTCCAAGATATTCTACCGAATTTCTCATAGGCTTTCCTATGAAATTTACGATCATAACAGTCAGAATGCACTCAAAATAGTCATATGCAGATCATATAGGGCTTATATGGGTATCATATAGGGGTCGTGTGGGTGTTATGTGGGAGTTATGTGGGAGTTATGTGGGAGTTATGTGTGGCAGTTATACGGGAGTGATATGAGGATCATATGAAATTCATGGGAGGTTTATAAAAGGATCATATGAGGGTTATATTAGAATCATGTGAAGATCATATGAGGTTCATAATAGGCTCAAGAGAGTCATACAGAGACCCTACGGGTTCATATGAGGGTCATACGGAGGTCAAGTAGGTGGTATGGCCTCTACAGGACATTTGTACAACTTCTATATGACCTCCATATTACCTACTATTAGACCTTTATATGACCCTTATATTATTCCCATACAATCCCCAGAATAACCATCTTGACCGTTATGACGCTAAATTTTATAGGAAATCCTAATGATAATCCCATGTGAAATCCTATAGAACATTCTATAGGAAATACAAACAGAAATACCTGACAGGGAATCCTATAGGATATCTGTCGTGTCCCCGAATAGGATGCAAGGACGTTGAGTCAGGATAGAGGGTTAAATGAATCGACACGAACACTGACGAATTATCATAGTCATCGATATTTTATCACTACAATAAGTTAACTAATACAAAAGAGTATTCCCGTCGAGACTCGATATAATTTTAAATGCTGATAATTAACCAGCCTCATTAATAACTAGAGCGGACTGTACACACTCGATGCGAGTCTAATGGACACACATTGAATACTGAATAAATCACAACAATTCGACACTAACGCTTGATCGCATTGATAACTGATATGCAAATTAGGCCGGACCCAGACAGGTGTTGTGAAACCCCCGAAAATCAAACAAAAGTGCTAGATTCAGTCCGCAACATTCTCCCCCTTTTGGCAATGACTATTGACAAAATACTGCCGGTAACACAAATTCACAAATCACAATGAACAGGAAAATCAATATAGGATACCAGTCAAAAATCAATACAAATACAAAAGTCAAAAGAAACGTAGAGTAGAACCCTAGACCTCGGTAGAATCAGGTGGAACGACCTCGACAAGTAGAGGACAGATCTTGACAATCGGCCTCGTGAAGCTCGACGACTGCGTCTTGACCGTCACAACTCTGCAAAGCCCATCTTTACCAGGATGCAACTCACTTAGTAGGCGGAAATCTCTCATCCACCAGAAGCACCAACGACCCCCACGGAACATTAGGAGTGGCCCTATGCCACTTGTTGATCTCCCGTAACTTCTGGATGTACTCCGTCGACCACTGCTCCCAGAATTTCTCCACTATTCGTCGAAACAGCTGATATCTCGCAAGCTTCGACATCGATAAATGAGTCAAGGAAGGCTCCAGCACAGTAGAGATGGCAGACCCGATTATAAAATGCCCCGGAGTCAACACTGGGAACTCATCAGGGTCATCAGGCAACTCGCACAGCGGCCTGGAATTTAGTATAGCCTCAATCTGCGTCAGTAGCGTCGTGAACTCCTCGTAGGTGAACTTAGCCTTTCCGATTATGTGCTTCAGATGAAACTTGGCCAACTTTACAGACGCCTCCCACTTACGACCATGGTGAGGAACACCAGGTGAATTGAAGTTCCAATTGGTCCAATCCTTCACTACACTGTGAGCGATACTCCGCCCCTCCTTACGAGTAGCGCTATAAAGTTCTCTGAGCTCTCTATCAGCTCCCACCAGATTCGTTTCCTGGTCACTGGTGATCGTTTCTGAGATCCTACGCCTGGCCGTAGACCTCTTGTAGCACGCCAAGAAGCCCTCAGTGGTGTAATGATCAGCCAGCTCCAGATGTACCGCAGAAGTAGTAAAACAGAAGAACACCACCATAAACCTTTTGTAGGTCTTTGCTCCGCAACCTCTCCAGGTCAGCAATGACAGCGGCCCTGCATAATCAACACCGCAGTGAAGAAAAGCTCTAGCTGGAGTGTTCCTTCTCAGCGGCAATTGTCCCATCAGTTGCTTAGCCACAACTCCACGAAACCTGGCACAAATCACGCATCGGAAATGGAGTTCCTTCACTGGCCTCCTACCTTCGATAATGCAGTACTTCCTGCGCAGAGTGGCCAGCATGAGCTGGACCCCACCATGAAAGGTATCCTGATGAACCTGAAACAACACTAGCTCCATAAACCTTGAACCCGATAGCAGCACCACTGAATGCTTGAAGTGAGACGACTCAACCCTTCTCCGTCGAGAAACGGCACTAGACGAAATAATGGTCTCCTCCGACTCATTTCCTTTGAGTCACTCAGCCTTTTTAGATCCTCAGCAAAAGACTCCGCTTGAGTCTCCTTGATCCAAAATTTTCGGGCTTCCTCAATCTCACCGGGCTCTAACACAAGACAAAACTGCCCAGCCTGCTTCTTCTGCTTCACGGAAAAAACGCGACGACTCCAAGCAGTCACGGCAAGCAGCTTCCTCAAGGACCCGTACCGATGAATTACATCCCAGGATCGATACTTTTGGTTCGATACAGCAGCATGAACAGCTAATCGTCGTAGCTCAAGACCCTCGACCTTATCTACTGCAAACCTCTGCTCAGGCCAAGAAGATTCCTCCCCCATCAACCAGCTGCGACCAGTCCGCCACAATTGACTCAGCCAATTTTTTGCTGGATACTCCCCTAGAAACTAGATCCGCAAGATTCTCTTCCCTCGAAATATGTCTCCAGCATGCTTGAGTCATCAATCTTTGCATCTCCTCCACTCTGTTCTTCACGAACTGCTTGGGCTTTGTACCATCAGATTTGATCCACGTGAGAGCCACAGCTTAACCGCCTTAATCACCGTCACCACATGTCATGACAATAAAGACGCCACCATTAGCTCAAGCCTCGGTATAGTAACCTTAACTGCGCTCTTCTGCCCCTCGATCGGAGCCAGCTTCGACTTTGAAGACACCAGGGTGACCCTAACGTCGCCATCTAGATTCACAGCGTTCAGGTACACCGCCGCGCCATATGCGACTCCTGAGGCATCATCAAACACATGCAACTCAAGCTGGACGGCCTCACCATCACTCTTGAAGTGCCTCGGCACTTGAACCTCCTTCAAACCCTGGATATCTCAAGCGAACAGCCTCCAGCGGCTCATGAACTCCTCCGTCAGCTGCTCGTCCCAACGCACTTTCGATCTCCACAGCTACTGCACCAAAAGCTTGCCTCTCACGATGAACGGCGATATCCACCCCAAAGGATCATAAAGTTGCGCTACCTGTGACACAACAATTCGCTTAGTTAATAGGTCACTTATTGGCTGTTCTTTAGGAGAAAAGAAGAACACATCTCGAGCTGAATCCCAATTAAGACCGAGCGTCCGATGAGTGCCCTGGTCATCAATCAGCAGAACTGACAAATCGCACGCTGCAACAGCTATGCCTTGAAGAAGATCAGGTTTGTTACTCTTCAGTTCAGCAGTAGCTTTCCCCCTGATGCAAAGACACCGGGGACCTCAGCGGTCTGCTTCCTGCATTCTTCCTCCATATAAGCTCCCTCGTACACGTCGTCCATGTAAGTTGTCTTCAAGATGAGTTCTTTGGCCTCAGAATGTGCGACTCCCTCATTCTCAGTCAACTGCCTCAACGTCCTGATCGCAAGATAAGGAGTAGAATGCGTACCATACGTCACCGTGTTCAGACGATACTCGGTAATTTTCCCTGCGTCATCCCTCCACAAGATCCTCTGAAAATCTCGATCCTCCGGACGAATCAGAATCTGCCTGAACATCTTGTCCACGTCCCCCGAATTTACGAATCTGTGCCTTCTCCACCGAGTAATAACCTGGAATATCTCAGCCTGCAGCTTCGGACCTTCATGCAGTAGATCGTTCAACGAGCACCTGGAGGACGTCTTTACGGAACCATTAAACCCAACCCTAAGCTTGGTTTTCAGGCTGGACTCTCTAAACACTGGATGATGTGGCAAATAATAAACCACAGAAGGCCTGCTCAGAGTTTCCACACGAGACATATCCTCCAATTTCTCATAGTCCTCCAGAAAGCCTTTATACTTGACCCGGAACTCAGGATCCTCCCCAAAACGAGCATCTAAACGGTCAAGCATCTTCACAGCCACGAGAGTCACCGAATTAACTCAGCGATGACTTGAACGGCAGCCCCACCACATATCGACCACAATCCTCCCTTGCGAACGTCGACCTGAAATGCTCTTCACACACAGAAGCCTCTGGACTCGCAGCCACTGAGGACTCAAGAAACTCCTTCTGCTGAGTCCAGAACCTCTTCACTAAGTCGTTCAGCTCCTCATCAGCTGACACATGAAACATGGAAACTTCCTGCGACAGAGCTTCTTCCCAGACATGATCCACCCAAAAGAAGTCTGCTGCACAATCGGCTGCTCCAACGACGCTCTTCGCAACCCTGGCTGAATAACCTGCGAAAAAACGTCCACACCAAGAATGAGATCGATACATCGTGTGCTGCCGTACTCAAGATCCGCTAACTGAAGCCCCTCAAGCACCGACCACTACCGGCACGGCTCAGCTCTCAGCACATCATCCGTTAGACGCGCCAACACCACTTCATCAGTCTCGCACACTTTTTCCTCCCACCGAGAAAAAAGTTCCAACGAAACCACTCCTCTGGCAGCTTGCTAAGTCACACCCCCAACACCAGACACAGCCTGAGCATATCTGCGACGCCTGATATGCAGCTGCTGAGTGAACCTCTCCGACGTCAACGACACTTGAGAACAGGGATCGGTAAGAGCCCTTCCTTCGACAAGTTCACCAGTCGATGACTTAACTTTAACCAAAGCAGTCGCTAAAAGATTCGAAGACGCCCCCAACAAGATCTCCTTTGTCACAGCGTGGACAGTCAGACCCGTGTCCGTTGCAGGCGCCCTTGCTCCCTGAATAAAAGTTGAAGCTTGCGCCGATAAGCCTGCAGACCTCTGACCTGTATTCTGAGGGAATGAACCCGCACCAGCAACAGGCCTCGATTTCTTATAATGGAGCGACGTCTCATACCTCTCCGAGCAGGTGTGACAATTAACTGTCGATGGACAATTTGCCTTCATGTGACGACCAGGACAGTTGAAAAATAACTTCAGGCGCTTGAGCTTCTCCATCCTCTGCTGCCCAAGATATTGAGAGCAATGTGAAACATTATGATCTCTCTTACACAACAAGCATTGCTTACCAGACGTCTGCACATCCACTTGATGCACTTTGGCTCCACCAGTACTGCCTTTCCTTAGGAAAGAGCTCTGAGAGGTCCTGATCCCGGCACCCGATGAAGAACCACTAGCAGTATTTGCTTTGCAGGACTGGAACATCCGGATTCTGGACAGCAAGAACTTCCTGAGCTCCTCCCAAAACTGAGGCTCCGACGAGGGTCCAAGATGCTTCTCCCATTCCAGAAGTGATTCCCGATCCAGCTTCATCTGGATCAAATTCATCAGCAAGTCACCCCATGACGTCACAGGCCTCTTCAATACCTCCAGCAACGTGAGCGCCTGGGTTGCTTCGGAATACAACCCCTCTAACGCTGCTGCGGAGCCCTGCGTCACCGCTTTAGCGTCTATTAGCATGCCTAAACCTACGTTCACCAGAGACCTTGTATTGTCGTAGAACTCCATTAGCCCGTCCCCGACAAGCTGGAAATTATCCCCAGACAGCGCGACATTCCTCACTCGCTTCTCCGCATCACCCTTAAGATGCGCCTTAACGATGTACAACATTTGGACAGATGTCAGACTTGGATTTGTCACGATTAAATTAAGGACCATATCCCGGAAGTTCACCCACTTGGCCGGGTCACCATCGAAATCCGGAATCTCCCAATTTGGCAACTTCAATCGCGAGCAGCGCTGATCAGGATGTGAATGATGCCCTGGAGGAGCAAGTCACAAATTGTAATTATCTTGCTCCGCTGCAGTTGCTGCATCCAATTTATTCTTCTCCGCCTGCATCTTCTCCAGCGCCGTTAAGTAAACTTCCTCCCAAGACCTGTGATGCTTTTCCTTGAAATAAACGTGCTCTTTCAGTATCTTCCGAACGTCAGGCTTGGCACTATACTTGTACCTCCACAGAGTTGCATGCTCCTAGTATTTATTCCACTTGACATCCATGTTCCTCTTCCGCGTCTCTAGCCTGGCAATTGTGGCATCAGCTTGCACAGAGTATTGTAAGCTTCACCAATAGCCTCAGCCAACTCGGCTTGCTCGTCGAGTAGTGCCGTATAGGTAGACGACATGATCGATAAAAAAGAAAATAACTAAAACCGGTAATTATTTCATCCACCGATGGGAAAATCAGTCTCCACTTACCGATGCAGGATATTAATTACCTATGTCGATAATACTGTCACCTTATTGATCGACCTCCATATCACTCGCGCGCTACTAACCACCACCAAGATAGCTGACGGCGTTCCACCAAAACTGTTGCTCCTCGAGTCAAGCGCAGCATCCACTATGATGCTCCGAGCCTACTACCAAGCGACGCCATGTCGCCTCACTGCCAAGCAAAGCCACAATGCTCCACCGCTAAACGACGCCACGATGCTACACTTCACCGACTCCACTGCACAGCCTTAATTACAGCTTCACGGTCCCAGCAACAGCTTCCTGCTCCTCGATGATCGCGGTGATTCCACGGATTGTCACTCGCCGAGAATTCCAGCAAGACGCTATCTCCAAACGACACCGACGATGACGACGACTGACGCCGACGAAAGACCGTTCACCACAAGCCACACTTGTCCAGTCTGAACACAAAGCCTCGAAAAGTCCTTCCAGGCGACACAAATTACCCGCAGCAACAATTAATCCACTCGTGCCGCAAAAGTTAATCCCTATCCGGCTCGAAGGACCAAAAATGTTGTGTCCCCGAATAGGATGCAAGGACGCTGAGTCTGGATAGAGGGTTAAATAAATCGACACAAACACTGACGAATTATCATAGTCACAGATATTTAATCACAATAAGTTAACTAAGACAAAACAGTATTCCCGTCGAGACTCAATATAATTTTAAATGCTGATAATTAACCAGCCTCGTTAATAATTAGAGCGGACTGTACACACTCAATGCGAGTCTAATGAATACACATTGAATACTGAATAAATCCCGATTATTCAACACTAACGGTTGATCGCGTCGATAACTGATATGCAAATTAGGCCGGACCCCGACAAGTGTCGTAAAAACCCCGAAAATCAAACAAAAGTGCCAGATCCAGTCCGCAACAATATCCTATATGAAATTTTCTAGATAATCGTATATGAAAAATCCTATGAGAAATGTTCGAATTCTACATACAATTTCCTATAGGAAATCCTGTAAGATTTTTTCACACGTGATAGAGAGGGGCGTACTTTGCAATATACAGGGTTTGCCACTAATAAAAAATACTTCAGTCAAATTAGCGTTGTTAGTACTTGGATGGGTGACCGCTTAGGAACATCTTCGCTCAAAAATTTCGGAAGGTACGCACGGTGTAGCGGCCTAATGTACCCTTCTGTCAAACTCACTAGAGAGGCACATGAGTTAGTTAGACCTCTCTAGTTAGCGTGACAGAAGGGCACATTAGGGCTCTGCACAATCGGCCGGCTGTATGACTGGGGTTTCCCATGGTTTCCCGAGCAGTCCTAGCCCGAATGGGGTACAGTTAACAGTAAGACGGCCCGTGGTAACGCAGATAAACATCAGAAGAGAAAAGTGGAAAACAGAAGGCAGATAAATGGGGAGCCTATAAAATCGTACTGGTAGTAGGAAAGAAATATGAATTTACAAAAATACTTTTGTCAAACAGGAGATGATTGCTTAAAAAAATGATGGAAAAAAATCATAACCGAATTTTTTCAACTCATCAAAGTTAGAATTCGCATACAGAATTGTCAATAATGTATAATCATTTCTTGATCATTTGACATTTATTCTTCCTCGTGTTACTCAACGGCTCAACTGCAGTATGTTTATACTAATCTAATCATTATTATAAACACCTAATCCAATAATAATCCAAATCTTTCTCAATAACCCAATATTCAGCCCTTTCAATTGTGACCACCCGTGAATGTTTCAGAACGACCTGACCCCCCAACTACACTCCAAGTAATCGAAATCGGTTCAAGGTCAATACGTTTATCATGGAAACGGTCTTTTGATGGCAATAGTCCAATCAGAAACTACATTATTCAATACCGCACATTGGGGCACGCTCTGACCGATGAGTGGGACCCCTCTAAGACTCACAATATAACCTTTACACCAGGGAATCTCACTGCAGCCCCGACAAACCTAGCGCAGAATGCGCTATCTAGGTATGAGACAACGAGCGACGATCAGGAGATTGCACTTGTTGGAGGACTTCACCCAGCAGTGACATATACCTTTCGCATCTTCGCGATAAATTCAATAGACATTAGTGAGCCCACTGACCCTGTGGTAGCGAAGACCCAAGAAGAGGCACCGACAGAACCCCCACAGAATGTTAAGGTAGAATCTGCAGGGCCTGGGGAACTGATCGTTCACTGGCAGGCACCACCCAAGGAGTCCTGCAATGGAGATCTCCTCGGATATATTGTCACGTGGTCCGAACACTCGTCATCGACCTCTGGGGTCAATCAGAGCAAAAGTTTGACGGTTAATGGATGGGCTACGACGAAGGTGCAGTTGACGGGGCTAAGAAAATTCACGAAGTATGATATTTCGATTAGAGCATTCAACAGCATTGCTAGTGGACCTGGAAATCCTTCTATCGTTGGGACTACTCAGGAAGGAGGTGAGTAGAGTAAAGAATGCAGTAAACAGCAATACCACAAAAAACTTCATTAAGCATTACATTAGTTCGTTAGAATTGAATTTTTTAGAGCAAAATATCCACCGGTGATGGTGGCTGAGCGGCTGAAGTTGCTTGGCCAAACAACAAACCCGTGAGCTATGCTAGATTTGAATCCGACTTGGCGTGATTTAGATTTTTAATCCCTCGGAAATCGTTGTAGGGGGGGCTAGACAGCGGGAATCATCGAGATCCATTCTTGGGAAACATTTTCCGATGTCTTCCCGTGGGCAACTAGAGCCTGCAGGTGGAATGCAGCTTCTGGCGTGAATATAACGTGGTTATGAAAAAGCCTAGTCGGCTATATTTAGGGTGGGACGAAGCACAAATAAATGATTATTATACGCACTATCGGATTCAGGTCGAATGTAGGTCAACACGCGGGTAATACAGGCGGGTAACGCTTTCAAATATTCTTTCAAATTCTGAAGTCCTCGATTAATATCTAGCCTAAAGTTGTCAATCTAGAGTAATATTTAAAACTTGAGTTTAATGACTCTCTATTAACTCCCAAATATTTATGAAATAGTGAATTCACACTAACTATTCATCCGTTTGAAGGAGTAAATCTAAAAGAATAGCGAAGAAGATAAAAATTCTGTTTCATTGTGTTCTGCAATGGGTTGATTCACAAAACAAAATTTCAACTGTTGTAAGATGAATATTTCCTGACTTCTTGGATTTCCAATAAAAAGTGGACATTCTGTACCAAATAACAACAAATTTAAGTTAATCAACCAACTCATTTATAAATTTAAATATATTAATTAATAAATTTGAAAAAAATTTCAAGGGAATTAGGAATTGTTTTAGACAGAAAAATTGCGCAACGCCTAGCCGGGATACGAATCCGGTTGAAATAAAATAAATGAATGAATTAATTTTAATGAATTGGAATTTAAAAAATATATTCTGACGAATTTTGCGTATTTCTATCAATTTTCATAGAATAATTCACATAAAATTTACTTTTTTCATTCATTATAGTCATTCAAATTTTAGTGGAAATATTCAATTTTCTTCATGCATTTGTAAAGAATATAATAACAATTCTTGGCCTGAGCGTCGAAAAATGGAGTTTTGAAAAAATACCAATATTTCGCAAACTCTATAAATAATTCAACTTTAATTGGTGTCGATGAATAGAGTCTATTAACGGTGGCCCGTCTTATGATCCCGAAATTTATTCCCCGATATTTCATCCCCGACATTTGATCTTCACCATACTATCTTTGTAACAATTAATTCTTTTTTTTTGTTCCCCGTCACTTTTTCCTCTCAAAATCTTGCTTTTCTTTCTATATATTTCGGCCTATATTCGGTCGTTCTCGAAACGTATTGATTTTTTTTATTAGGGTTCTGTTGACTTTTATAATGAGGGGGGATAATCATGAGTAAAGCTCAAGCGTGTCATTTGAGCATTTGGAGGTCGATTCAGTTGATGCAAATGGAGCAAGGTGTTACGGAATTGAATGTAATTCAGTTGGGGGCTGGACGTGAGGCTCCACCGAGAAAGAAGAAATAGCGAGATTTTGATGCTTGTCTGAAGCGTATTGTATCGGAGTTCGATGAGAGTGATTATGTTGGTTATCTGATTCGTGTAAGCCACCTCGTTTGCCTGTGATGAGTTGTTTTTATTCTGAAGTCATATATTGTGTGATCGTTATGAGTTTTTTTTGTTCCTGTTGAAAAAGACAATTTTGAAGTTATGTAATGTGTGAAAGTTATGAATTGTGTGTTTAATTCTTCCTACAAAATGATTAAAGAAACTTGAGAAGTGCACAGTCGTCTTTTTTCATTTGTTGGGATAAAATATCGGGGAGGAAATGGCGTGGGGATACTACCTCCGGGATCTAATGTCGGGGAACTAATGTCGGGGAATAAATGTCGGGGATAATAAATCGGGGAATCACATTAACATTTATATCCATGGAAAACTTCATGAAATTTCATCAAGCTCCTTAAAGAAAATTGCAAAAAAAAATGAAAAAAGTACATACATACATTCATACATACAGACGCCGTCTAGAAATCGAATATTCAGACTTTTTAGAATATATTTAGTTACCCTGACATAAAAATATGGAAACTTAATTTTGAACCATTACAAAGCTTCCATTCGGAAGCAATATAAATTAGCATCTTTTTAACTAAATTAAACAATTTTTTAAAAAATTTAGGTGGGTTTTTCCTAAATCTGCTCTCCGATATCACACTATGAAATAAGCAATTCAATTTGGTTATTTCATATTTAATCATATTCACTCCTATAATAGAGAGAGGGAAAGAGAAATTAGGGTTTTGTTTCCCACTCCGGTGTGGTCATTTTTCCGATTATCCCTGGGATAATCGAGTCATGTTTCCCCGTTTAAGCGGAGTTATTTTTTGTTGCTTTGCCCTTCCGTTTAATGCTTTTGCGGTTTCGTTTCGTTTTTGACTAATAAAGATCTAAAGATCTTACGCGTTTTTGAGGGCCCATAGGGTTATCATGAAGAAGGGCCAAATTTTAGAGTCATCCGATAACCTTTATGGGAACCACCCTATTGTTAATCTTACGGTAAATCGTTTAGGTCCGGCTGAAATGCCGGCGCTCCAAATTATGATGGATTTTACGGTGGTTAACTGGTTACGTTTCAGTTTTTCGGTGGAAGGTCACGTGCAACAAGTGCAACCCTTCTATCCCGTGAATTGCCAGGTTGCTTAGAGTTTTGGAAAGTTAAGAGAATTAGTTAGGAGTATCGGTCTTTTAACCCCGTTTATCCAGGAGAACCGACCCGTAGGAAGCGCCAAAAATCCACGGTAATTTTCCGAACGTCCACCGGTTCGGCCCAGGTTAATCATCAGTCAATTTTAGAAAGTTACGTATAGAATAATTAGAGTCGAGTATTTTTCGCGTTTGAATTCCCCGAAAGCATTCGATGGCGCCATCAACCCCCTGCTTGATGTGCTAAAATCTCCGCCAATCAGAGCCCGCCTCTGTTGGCCGGAATTTGCGCTGCGGTTAGTGCCCGTGACACTGACCCAGGGCAGTTAGTTCCGCGTTGACCGTCCCAAACCATTGGTCGCGTGTGAATTTTTGTGTGCCCACATTACCCAACTGGGCACTTGGATTATTCCGAAATTATCCTGTAGCTATAAGAATCCAGGATGGTCCGAAAAGGGAAGAGGACCCTCAAAAACCGAAAAGCCGTGAGTTTTCTGGTATTTTTCCCCTAATTTCGAGCCATTATCGAATGGCGTCGTTTCCCCTTTATGGCAGTATCCCTCGCGTGGCCCTCAGCCGCGTGCAGTGCTTGATCACCCCCTTTATTCATATTTGTTGGTCCGAATTTGGCACTTTTTTTGGGCATTATCCCTTACCCCGGATATTTATCCACGGGCCCTTCCGATTTTGGATCGGATATTCCACCCAAATCGGGTCGGTACCGAATTCTCCCCCTTCCGGTTTATCCCAATCATCTCGTGAGATAATTTACGGGTTCAGCGAGTGTATCTATGCGTAGTGAAATGTTGGCATCTTCTCCCAGTCGAAATCGGACGATTTTCGACGTGGGTTATTTCCTTCTCCCTCGCTCCTATGGCGAGGAGTAGCCCTATTTTTTCCTACGTATAAATTGCGTAGAGTTTTTCCCCTCGCGGTCACCCCCCCTAACGAGCTCACAGGTCATGATATTAATTCACATTTAAGGAATATTATAATAAAGTTACAATCTTTAGTCCATAATCTTCATCAAGATATCAAATTTTATTTTATTATGGTTGGATTAAATGTGGTTATATTGTTAAAAAACCGAATGAGTTTGAGAATCCCGTCGATTTTGCCTTCGGGCAATCTTCTCATCCCCACTGTGACATTGACGGCTGATACGTGTCAAGACGTATGCGTAAAATAGCCACTACCGCTATACTTATTCCGAAGCGCCTTCCCCCTCCACTGGTATCCGCTCTCAATGTTACGGTAAAAAATATTACGCCATAATATTACGGTAAATAATATGACGATCCAAATTGTTACGAGGTCTAATTATTATTGATCGTTTTAATTATTGGAAGTAATATGACAACGTTTTTACTGGCGTCGGTGTTATTATTCATTATTATTTTCCGTTATTTATAGTATTTCTTTGGCTCCACAAATTCGTAATTTGTCGAATAAAAAACCTTTGTGTAATAGTAGTTTTGCGCCTTTTTGGCTGAGGATGAAGTGAAGAGGCATAGTAATTATTTCAAGGCACCCGTGTCGAGCATTCCTATATAACTAAATGTTATTGAAAAATCGTCGGTGTTGTGTGTGAATGTTTGAGGGAATTTTCATTTCTTTTGGGGGATTAATATAATCGTACCAGCTCATACACCTGTTGAGTAATCGATAGTAACTAACCTCGGGTCATATTTTTTGGTGTTGGGCTATTATTGTATCGATTTGATTTGCGGAGAATTCCTAACGAGGGGATAAATGTTTGTCCTTGATTCCATACCTTTATGTACGGTCACATTACGGTTCAATAATTTTTCATTCCGTAATAATTTTCTACGTAATATTTTGTCCCGTAATATTTTTGCGTAATATTTTTTACCGTAATATATTTTTTTTATTTATAGAATCCCATGTATAGCCTACTCGGCCTTTTACATACTTAGAACAAGGGTTTCCAGTCTCACAGACTGGTATATAAGTTTTTGGAAAACATTTAACAATAATAATATATGAAGGTACAACAAAAATATGCCGATTTTTCAAGATCCCCCCAGAGCTAGCCCTCTCTCCATGTCACTAGCAATCTTCTCAAAATGCCAGGCGTAGTTGCATAGAGCCTCCAGTGGTCGCCCTTTCAGGGCTTCTCCCAGCTTGTTCTCTAAAGCCGCTCCACCAGCCCCATTCCTCCATAGCTCCATCGGTCGTGTCCATTTCTCGTTAATGAGAGAGAGCGCCTTACCACAGACCCAGATATGCGAGATGGACTCTGGTTCCATCTTGCATATTCTGCAGGTGTCATCCAGAAACCCTTTCTTGCCTTCCCGGCCAGCGTTTCCACACCTGAGCCTCGCCCATTGCTCCTTTATCAAGCTCGAAATATCTGGATCTTCCCAGTAAAAATAATCCCTCACTTTTCCCTTCTCATCCGTGAAGGGAATGCCTCTGTGCCACGACAAATAGTTCCCACAGTACGAAGAGTTCTCAGCCCGTTCCCTATCTATAGCCTGTTCCTTCTCCCTCAATCTATCCCCAGCCTCCCAGAGCCTCTTCCGACTTTCTTCATCCTCTGGGT